CAGGTTACAGGTTATGGCAAAGATAATTAAATCATGAGTAGTTATCAGACATGGCTCATTAAAAAAATCTGAATTCTAATCTTTAAAAAAGATTTTGTGGTTGCTATGGCAGCTGTATTAATTTTCTGTTGGTGCTGTCATAGCAAATTATCACAAGCCTTATAACAACACACATTTATTTCCTTAATTCTTAATTATTTGTGTATGTGTTGGGGGCACACGTGCCAAGGTGTGCATGTGGAGGTCAGGGGACAAGGTTCTGGAGCTGGTTCTCTCTGTCCACCTTCACTTGGTGTTCTAATTTACCTTCAATTGCTGTGATAAAACACTCTGACCAATACCAACTTGGGGAGGGAAGGGCTTATATTATCTTACATCTCCGGGGTCATAGTTCATCACTGAAGGAGCCCAAGGTAGGAACTCAGGGCAAGAACCTGGAGGACAGACCATGGAGGATAGCAGCTTACTGGCTTGCTCCCCTGATCCATGCTCAGCCTGCTTTCTTATACAATACCGAACAACATGCCTGGGGTGGCATGGCTCACAGTGGCTGGGCCCTCCCACATCACTCAGAAATCAGGAAAATATCCCATAGACATGGCCACAGGACAGTCCAATGGAGGCAGTTCTCCAGTTGAGGCTCCCTTTACCCAGGTGTGTCAGCTGACAACTTGGGGTCTGGGATCAACTCGGGTCCCCAGGCATGTGTGGCAAAAGCACCTTTACCTGCTGAGCCATCTTGTAGAGTTTGGCAGGTCCTGAGTTGGAGTGGGCAAAGATCGAAGCGCCGTTAACTCTTCATTGCATTCGGAGAGTCCCAGCAGGCCTGCTGCTTTCCCTGCTTGGGTTCTTCCAGGCTGCGCATCTTTTTAGCTCTTGGCTCTCCGATTCCATCTTCAAAGCTAGCAATGGTGAACTGAGTCCTCGCATGGCATCAGCCTGCTCTTCCTTTCTGCCCCTGCCTCATTTGAAAGGCCTTGGTGATTCCATTCGGTTAACATGGATTAAGTAGACCAGCCTTTTTATCTTAAATTTAGCTAACAACCTGAATTCTATTAGCGTATTTCAATTTCAAGAATTCAGACAGGCATTGTCAGGGCTGCTGTTATTTCTGCACTGTAACAATATGCTACTTCCTTATTTATTTATTTATGAATGATAGGGTCTCACTATGTGAACTGTGGCTGGCCTGAAACTCACTCTGTAGACCGGGTAACCTCAGACTCGCAAAGATCTGCCTGTTTCTGCCACCTGAGTGGTCGGATTAAAGGTGTGTGCCACCAGGCCTGGCTATGCTGCTGTTTAAAAATCATAAAAATTTGATCTCTGAAAAACAACATAGGACAGTAATACTACTGTGTGTAAAGTTTTATGAAAAAAATACCCACCTCCTCTAACTCCAGCTTTTTAAATTTTTTTTTAATTTTTAAAAAGTATTCTGATATTTTTATTTTGTGTGTATGAGTGTATTGCCTGAATTTGTATAAGTGCACCCATGTCGTGCAGTGCCTGAGGAGGTCAGAAGAGGGTGTCAGATCCCCTGGATCTGGAGTTAGGATGGTTGTTATCTGCCAAGTGGGTGTTGGGAATCAAACTTGGGTCCTCTGCAAGAGCAGTCAGTGCTTTTAACCACTGAGCCATCTCTCCAGCCCTGTAACTCCAGCTTTTAAATAAACTTACATTTCATGGATTTTTTTTGTTTGCTTATTTGTTTGTTTTGTTTTGTTTGAGGCAGTATCTCACTGTTGCCCCAGCTGGATTAGAACTCTCTATGCAGACCAGGTTGACCTTGATCTCACAGAGACCCACCTGTCTCTGCCTCCCGAGTGCTGGGATTAAAGGTGTGCACCACTATGCCTGACTACATTTCATGGATTTAAATGCAGTCTAAGCATTAGTGATCCCCAAATTATGCCTTGGTTCTCACTTCTAGACTGAGTGTAAGCCTGATAAATACAATTGCCTACCCAGTGTCCTACTTGGATTTCCAGTGGGGAGTCGGGGTTGGGGGGTGGGGAGGTGGGAGTGTTTTATTTCTATTTTGTCTTGTCTGGATATGGTGTCTTATTCTGTGAGCTTAATGAAGTAGGAAGTAGGAAGGCATAGTGGATTGTAGGGGGGCCTCCAAAAAAGATATGTCCGTATCCTAATCCTTAGAACCTGTAATGTGACCCTACTTTGGAAAAGTAATCTTTTTGTTGGAATTAAGTGACTAATGCCATGCTAGCACTACCCTGAGGAACTAATATAGAAGATTAAGGTTGATGGCTCTGTATCACTTACTCTTCTTGTCATTGTGACTAAAACACTTAAACTCAACAAGAGGGAGGAGAGCCTCATTTTGGCTTGAGGTTTCAGAGGGTTCCAGTCCATCTTGATGAAGAAGGTACGGCATGTACAGTATAGCTGGGGCTCCTCACATCATCCAGGAAGGTGGGAAGCTGAGAGTTTAGGCCAGATGCAGAAGCAGATGTAACCTTTAAGGCTCTCTCATAGTGAAGTGCCAGCCAGGCCCCATTTAAAAGTTCTACAACCTCCTAAAACTGCCACCAGCTGGGGACCAAGTGCTTAGACACATGAGCCCCTGGGGGATAGTTCAGATTCAAGCTAGAACAGGCCTGAGCATCTGCCACCATGTCCATGCTGTCGCTATTCTTTTTTTATTTTAAATTTATTCTATATGTATGAGTGTTTTGCCTGCATATATGTAAATATACCTGTTGTCACTCAGTGCCTGTGGATGTCAGATCCCCCAGAACTGCAATTAAGGATGGTTATGAGTTGCCATGTGGGTGCTGGGAAATGAACCCAAGTCCTTTACAAGAACAGCCAGTACTCTTAACTGCTGAGCCATCTCTCCAGCCCCATCACTGTTAGTCTTATCACCTATCCCAGGGCCTGGAAAGTATTATGTGCTTAGAAAATAGTGATTGAATAAAAATACAGTTCTTGTCCATGAACTTCCAGTCTAGTGGTCCTGCTAGTGGTATTGATGAGAATTGTGCTTAAAGGTAATATTGAAAGAGGCCTTCCAAGTTAGAGTCCCCTTCTAAATTGTGTGTGTGTGTGTGTGTGTGTGTGTGTGTGTGTGTGTGTGTGTGTGTGCGTGCATATATGTACATGAGGGCAGGTGCTTGCAGAGGCCAGAAGAGGGCATTAGATCTCTTGAAGCTGAAGTTTCAGGCAGTTTTAATTGCCTAATATGGGTGCTGGGAACCAAACTTTGGTCCTCTGCAAGAACAGTAAATGCTCTTAACCACTGAGCCATCCCTCCAGCTCCTAAATTTTTTAAGTGTATGAAGGTAGTGATGGATTTTTAAAAAGTTTTTAATACCTTTTAAAGAAATTGTCCTTTTAGAATAAGACTAATTTTGTATAAATAGAAGTTATAAAGCCTTCCTCAAAATAGAAAAAAATGTTGTCTCTAGAAAATCAATGAGTAATTATAGTTGAACCAGTTAGGAAGTTTAACCTATTTCTTCCTTGCTCCTAATAGAATGTTTATCATTAGCTCAAATTGATTTCATATTCACTGGCCTTGAAGCATCATTTAGACAAAGTACTTTGAAGCAATAAAATAACTTAATGTGCCACAAGGTACAAGAAAACCAACATTTACCAACCCAAACTGGGCAGGTTGTATATCTGTAAATCTGAGCTTACCATTGGAAATTAGGCACATGATGTAGCATTGCCAGTATTTTACAAATTGGTATAATAGCAGCACAAGCTGATGTCAGCTGCTCCAGGCTTTCCACATGAATTAAGTTATTTTGTTCTCACAACCACCCTGATCTCTTACCTACTCTCTTTGCACCAGAGGAAACTGAAGCCCAGAGTGGTTGAATACTTGCCCAATGCATAGCAGCACTAAGTGGCAGGGGTGAGCGGCCATGGCTCATAACCTCTGCCCCCTCCTGAGAATATGTCAGCTTTCACTGCCTGATAGAACGGGAAGCTGTGCTGAGAATAACAGTAAATCTGGAAAGATTCTTAATTCGCTGTGTGCTGGTCAAACCCTAGTCTACCTGCCTCCGGGCGCTGATGCATGGGGCTGGGAGGAGGCACTCTGAACACCCCGTGCTTCTGACCCATGTGAGATACACTGGTCTGCTCACTGCTCTGCCCACACAGTTCACTTCACATTAAGGCTTATTGTTGATGACTGTGTGCTTAAGCCAGTTATTCGGGGACTCTGAGTCCATGCATGTGTCTAGGCTAGAGCCTTGAGTGCCACCCTGCTAATCACACTTCTTTTGTGGAGAATGAATAGGAGGCCAGAATCAGAGGGATTCTTAAGGAATCTTTTTTATGTACTTCAGAATCGGCTATGTTGACCAAAGAAATCATTACGATGAATGTAAGAAAAACATGGCTGAAAATATCCACTCTAATGAGATTTGGTATTTATTTATTTTGGTCTTTTTGAGACAGGGTCTCCCTATAACCCCATCTGATCTAGAACTCTCTATGTAGACCAGGCTGGCCTTGATTTTACAGAGATTGCCTGCCTCTGCCTCTGGAGTGCAGGGATTAAAGGCATGCACCACCACACCCAGCTTAATTCATTTTTGATTGTGTGTATATGATGGGGGGTTCATGTGCCTGCCATAGCACGTGTGTGGCGGTCAGAAGACAACTTTTGGGAGTCGGTTCTTTCCTTCCACTGTGTGTTCCAAGGATCAAACTCAGGTTGTTAGGCTTCTGTAGCAAGACGTGCTTTTACCTTCTGAGCCATTTTGTTTGCCTTGTGTTGTTTTTGTCTCTAAAGCAATCTTAATGTGAATTCCATTTTACAATAGAACACATGGTTTCAGGATTCGGACTCTCTGAATACTAACTGTGGCCCAAAGGGAGTCTTACTCTCTTAAGTCTTAGCACAAAAACTCACCCCTCTGTACTGTCAAGAATCCTGATTATTTGTGTCTTAGAAGGGGAGAAAACTACTATGCTTTTAGTTTTACCACTTCAGCATCTTAGTTGTCTGTTCTTTCTTCTAGGGAGGACGCAAATCGCACGGAGTCCACAAGTGTCCTGTTAAAGAATGAATATTCCCATGCTGCTCCTGCATCCTCACCAGCGATGCCTTCTAAGATTAGCACCTTTCTGTCGGCACCACTTTGCTGTTCACTCAAGTACTCATCTTGGGTCAGGAATCCCTTGTGCTCTGCCACTCAAGTATCTTGGACCTCATTGTACGGAGCGGATGCTGTTGTCAAATGGTTTAAGGAGAACATTATGTGTACAAGCACCCTTAAAGGACAACACAGAAGCACTTTCTGATAAGGAACAAAGATTTGTGGATAAACTTTATACAGGTTTAATCCATGGACAAAGAGCTTGCTTAGCGGAGGCCATCACTCTTGTCGAATCAACTCACACCAGGAAGAAGGAGTTAGCCCAGGTGCTCCTTCAGAGAGTGTTAGTCTACCACCGAGAACAGGAACGGCTAAACCGAGGGAAGCCCCTAGCATTCCGAGTAGGTCAGGTTTCTTTTTATGTTGCTCAGTAAATATTTTTCTAAATTCTGTGTTCTTTTGAAATAAGTCTACGCAGTTTAAAATTAAATGAAGTTTCTTTCTCTTGAAATTTTAGTTGAATTTTAAATGTTATTTTTTGAAAGTATTAGTCTTCATCTATTGAAAAATTTTGCCATGACCATTTGAACCAAGCCTCTGTGCTTTAAGACAGTAAGAATTCTGTTGTGTGGGATTAGAGAGATGGCTCAGCAGCTAAGAGCACTGGCTAACTCTTACAGAGAACCCAGGTTGGATTTTCAGCACCCACGTGGTGGCTAACAACCATCTGTAGCTCCAGTTCCAGGGATCCAACACCACCTCCTGGCCTGCATGGACACTGCACGACACAGGTGCACTTACATACATGCAGGCAAAATATGTATACACATAAAATAAATAATTGTTTTTAGATCTTAAAAAAAAGAAGTCTGTTGTGGCAAGAATCTTGCTATGACCTCCAGAACAGAAGTATTCAGAACTATGAACCAGTTTGCTCCTCCTTTTGGTCACCCTCCTGTTAAGCAGTCTAGACCGACCTCCCTGTTTCTGTGGTGCGTCCACTGTTACTGTCCTGATCGCACTTCAGAATCTCACTTCTCTGCTGTTTCCTTGGTCTCACCTCTTCCTCTTTTGTTTCCTTCAGTTTTGTCATGTTGCCCAGGCTGACCCCCGCCCCCAGACACAACTTTGACCTAACTAACTCACTGATTCTAGGAGTGACCCTAAACCCAGCCATCTCAATACTATAATGCATTTTAAAGGAGAAATACTCATTTAGTATCAGTATTTAAATATTCATTTGATCTTTTGGATTACTTGACTTGGTCCTGAGATTGTAAGACAGCTTGTTATGTTTTTTAAATAATGCATTTTAAAATGATTTAGATATCTTTTGATCATCAAAAATTAAAGAAGGCAGTTGAGGTAGAGTGAGAGTGTCCACTGACAGTGAACCAGGTGCTATGAACCAGCTCTTCTGCTAAAAACAACTTGAAATGATAGTTAAAGTGCAAAAACTGTGGGTAATGAGAAATACGTAGAAAAGCTGACACACTTGACTTTATATCATAATGTATTGGTAACATAAGGACTCAGACCTCCTTGTTTCTCCAGTAATGGATATAAATGCTTTAAAGACAGTGTCGCAAATAGGTATCCAACCAATACTTGTACCTGTCTGCACATTTCACACTCCTTCCTCTGTGCTCACAGAGGGACTCCTATTTTGAGAGTACTACACTGGGTCTTAATAATTCTTATGTGTTATAGACAGAATAGCGAGTCCTCGGAGAGAGACTTTAGCTATGATGAAGTATTTACTTATTAGGCTTTAGAGAGCCTTGAAGAGAAAAATGTCCCAGAGATGCCTAGGAGTAACTTAGCAGTTCACATGTATCTTTTCTGTGTTATTCTGGATATTCTGTCCTGAACTTAGCCCAACAAACTCGTGTTTATTGTAGTTATTTTGTCGTCATCATAAATAAAAGCAACAAATACTTATTCAGCACCTATAACAGTGTTTAAGACAGCAAGCTCCTGTGAATCGTAGTAAGGAGCCAAGCACACCATACACTGCACATACTCTTGAGGATTGCTAAATGCCCATGTTTGATATTCTCTGTTGAATGTGTACATCTGTGGTGCCTTGCTCTCTATGTGACACACTGTGCTAAACATTATCTCATCTGACTCTTCACCTGCAGAGGTTGGTACTGTTACAGTAGCTACTGTACTGTGGAGGATGCTGAGGTACAAGGAGTGGTTGAGCACTGTGATCAAGATTATAGAGCTCATCTGAGGCAGCACTAGCATGAGACCTGCTGACCTGAGCACTCCAGGTTCACCCTCTTACCTGCTGTGTTTAACTGACTCCAAGTAGGGGGCTTCTCTGCCTTTCTGAATGCAAGTTTTTAGGTTTCCTTTTTTATATGATATTTTTCTTGGAGTTATGCGTGAAATGAAAGAAAAAATGATTATATAGAAAATTACTTTCTCAATCACTGGGAATTTCTGGAGTAATGAGTTTGTTTTTCCAGTGGGCAGAAGTAGATAGAATTGGGGCAGGTGGAATAATTACCCATTGTGATGAGAGTAGAGCAGACATAGAAATTCAGCACTGCAACACAGGTGGTGACTGCATCCAGAAGGATCTATGTCAGAGAAAAAGGCAAAACATGTTTTCTAATTTGTGAAAGTGAATTTTATAAATACATGAAACTCAGAATCATTTTCTTCTTATAATACCGTTACTCAACAGTTAGATAGAGGTAACTTTTTCTGCTTTAAGCATGTTAAAATATATCAACCATAATTTTAATAAGTTAGAGGAAGTAGGAGATAATCTAATGTTTATGCCACTGAAACTGCTTATAGTGCTGATCTCATTTATAGAAGAACTCTTTTCACTATAGGATTGTCTGGGCCCCCTGGTGCTGGAAAGTCAACCTTTATAGACTATTTTGGGAAAATGCTGACTGAGAAAGGGCACAAATTATCTGTGCTAGCGGTAGATCCTTCTTCCTGCACCAGTGGCGGTGAGTATGGCTGACTTTTATAATTGTAGAGTTTGTAGGAGTTGTGCTACAGATTAGTGGGAATTGGTAGTTAGGTGAACTCTAACTGAGCTTGGTCGCATGGAAGGAGCCATTCCTGCTCTGCAGACTGAAGGAAAAGTCTGAGAAGGAGTCAGAGTGCTGAACTCCACAGAGATTAGCTTGCTTGTAGGTAGTACATGGGTATCAGAGGGACAACAGATACCAGAAGTTGAGGCTGATGAAACACCAATTTCCGCCCTTTGGTGATCATGCCTAGGACTGATCTTGCAGTCTGTTGTTTCTCCTGTGAGCCAGTGGCTGTGCCGGTTCAGAGGCTGGTCCTCATTTACCTGCTAATTTCTTCAGACTATTGTAGCATCTCTTCTATAAGCTTTGAGGGGAAAAAGAAAAAAAAAACCAATCCTTACTGCTGTTTTTAGCTTGTCATTTGTTTGTTATATGTCCAGTGAAACAGAAAGCTCTTGGAAGTACCATATAATGTATTGCTATCCCCGTACAGCACTTGACATAGTCCATTGTACACTGCACAGTATTCAGCAGTTACTGATATGAGGTCATGCAGTCACTCAACATTTAATTTGCAGCTCATCAGAGATAAAATGAATCTAAACTTAGTTCCCCAAAGGATCATTTAAAGAAAACGTAAAGCATACCCCCTTACCCTCTTCCTGACTTAAACTGCTCAGATTACAGTTATTCAGTGAACGAGTATTGGAGTGTCTTCTACAGGGGAGGCATAAGTGTGAAGGCACTGTTTTGTAGAATGGTGGATATGACACAGTACTCTTGACCTTGCACAGGCTTATCTCTTATTAGAGAAACAGACAAGCTATCACAGTGTACTGTATGTTGTGAAGGGGTAAATACAGGCTACTTTGAAAGTGGTTTGTATACTATGCTATTTTGTGGGATATAATCATATTTCAAGGACCTTAGGTTAGTAGAGAAGTAAAAGTTGAGAAATGTATCTCAGAACATCTGAAAGATTTAATTCACTATAATAAAAAGGTTAACTGTACATAATGAGTTCAAGATTAAATTCATGTTGATGTGTTGTCTAGTTTATTTATGGTTTAAGAGCTTGGTTAAAGGCAAATATATTAGGCATGTTGATGAAGGACTTTTTATAAGTGATCCTCGTTTTCATATAGGTGAGAAGGCCATTTCCCCTGTCTCCGTATTCTAGGGTATTCACCACAGAAAACGAGAACAGCAGCTTGAGGTAGTAGTTGACAGCAGAACTTGTGTTACATCCTGTGATTAAAGGAGCATAGCACAAGGTCTCTCTCTCTCTCTCTCTCTCTCTCTGTTTTACCAGCAATAGACTGATCTCATGGGCTGCTGCCCTCCGTCCTCCCTCCCTCCCTCATTCCCTCCAGCCCTTCCTTCTTTCCTCCCTCCCTCCCTCTCTCCCCCTCTCCCTCCCTCCCTCCCTCCCTCCATAGATGCACACGTGTAAGGGAGCACACATGTGTGTGTGAACATGTGAAGGTCAGAGAACAACCTCAGCTGACCCCTTGTTTTTTTGGACAGCTTCTTTCACTGGCCAGGAACTCACCGAGTAGGCTGGACTGGTTGGCCAGTGAACCCCAGGAATCCACCTCTCTCTGACTCTGCAGTACTAAGATTACAAGTATGCACCCCACCTGGCTTTTTATACATGGGCTCTGGGGCTCAAACTCAGTTCCTCATGTTTGCAAAGCCAGCACTTACTGACTGAGCCATTTCTTCAGTTGTGGTTCCTAACCTTTCTCAGAACAAAGCTGAAGGGTCCCATTCTCAGAGTTTAAAAAAGTGTGTCCAGACCCCTGAGGAACAGATCCTCAAACGACCTTAAGAGTAAAAATAAATTGGTTTATCTGGACCAACTGTATGGCCTTAAACACCCAAAAGGAAAGTATAACCAAAGATTAAAGGAGCCAATATAATTTCATAAGAGTCCATGTGCATAGCTAAAGGCTACATAACAAGCAACAATGCCAGACAGGCGATACCTTCTTTTGAGTTGTTGGCCAGGGTGGCCAAAGGGATTCCCAGATAGTAACCCAGCATAGACCTGGGAAAATGAACAGCAGACCCCAATCTTATCCAAAGGAATATTGACAACTGATTACCGCTAGATGAGGAAGAGCTGACCCTCCTAAAACAAAGACCTCTAGATAGGCTGACTAGATTCACCAGAAGGACAAGTAGTGGGGAATGGCTGGGGTGCCAACAACACAGCAGACAGTAGGAGGGATATCAGAGTATAAGGGCTCTGGGGTCGGGGGGAGGAAGGCTATGGGAGGGTGCTATCTGGGAAGTGGGTGTAAAAATAAATTAAAAAAATATGTGTGCATATATGTGTTTTGAAAGAAAAAAATACATGCAAAATACTATAAATATGACTTTCTGCCTTATCACAATAGTACATATGTTTGGAAAACAGCATGGAATTGAAATTTGAGACACATTGGTTTCTTGATCTGTCCTTGTACTTTGGATTCATAAATCTCCCTGTGATAACTTTGAGACCACCTGGAGGTCTACAACTAACAGTTTTGGATCCACTGGCAAAAACAATTATATGGGAGAGTAACTTTATAATGCTGTATTCAGTGTGAAGGGAGCTGTAAGATAATGAAGTATAGCTTTGGCAATTGTGGACTTCCACAGGGATGATTTCATGCAGAAAATTACTCTAGGAAGAAGTTTTATGTGGAATAAATAAAGCAATTGAGGTGTATGCTCTAGAATGAGTACTTATGAGAAGACTGTAAACTGAAGTCATAAGGGGAAAGAGCATATCTGTAAGGAACTTCTCCATCTCTGCCATCTTATCAGGGAGCTTTAGCCAAGGTATTATTCAGGTTAGACTAGCAGTATACTTCATATGCAACTATATGGCAAAAGAAAGTAGGAAAGGCAGTGGTGGTTCCAGGGCTTGCTTTCATTCTTTTAGAGTTTTGGAATATTGATGTTTGCTCAGATACTACAATTAATTAAAAAATACGATTAGTTCATTTGGTGGGTATTAATTGAATGCCTACTATGAGCACATTGTTTACCATTCAGTGTACAGTATCTTCAAGATGAGGTCTCATGGGCGAGGAACTTAAGCTCCATCATGTTTTCTTGACCTTGGCACTAGTGACATTGGGGCCAGGCAACTCTGTTGGGTAGTGGTGGACCTAGCAGCATCCCAACCTTTATTCAGTAGATGCCAATAGCATCCCACCCACCCCCATTTGTGACAAGCAAAGATGTCTTTCAACATTTCAGAGTACTTTCCATCTTTTCGGATCACTTTGCACTCAGTGTAGGCTCCAAAGTTTCTAACTGCAGGCAAGGGGATTAGGAACAGCAGACTGGGACTAAGGGTGGCTTCAAGATACACTTGCACAGCATTTGCATAAGGCTGAGAAAATGTCATTTGTACAGATAAACAAGTGAGGACTAGAGGCCACTCATGGTAGAGAAAGGGGAGGGTCACCCAAGTTCTCTAAAGTCTTCTAGGATCCTGGCAGATTGCAAAGCAGTTACTGTACTGTAGAAATTTATAGAAAAGGACATGCCATGAAAAACTTCCAGAAAGACAATGATGAACAGAGGACTGCAGACTCTGTAAATAGAGAAGGTCTGTGCTTTGTAAGCAGGTTTTGAGGAGCATGTTCTGATCCTGTGTGGAATCTCACTTGAGCCTCCCTGTGACTTTGTGTCCCTTTTTTGAAGCTGAGGAGAGAGGAGGAGTTCGGGAAGGCAGAGTGACCTCCAAAAGTCATGTGGCTGGGAGCAGTGGGGCCAGGTGCAGACATGGGTTTGGCCTCTTGTAAATTAGGGGTGAGAAGATAGAATCGATGGCCTCTGGCATGAGAGCTCCAACAAAGGAGACCCAGTGTGGAGATGGCACTGAAGAGACCACACGGGCTACGTGGGAAGATGGCTTGGGACTGGTGGAAGCTGAAATTGCTGGGGGAAGGTGAGACTGGGCTCTGAGGGCTTCCAATGCTTAGGCTGAAGGATGTAGGTTTGAACCTCCGGTCAGTGAGAAGGCTTTGTTGGGTTTCAGGGGCCTGGAATGGTGACAAGCAGTGAAGATAAGGGTGATGATGTATGTGGATCAGAGGCAAGTGCATAATGCAAATACAGCTTGAGACTTTAGAAGAAATGCCATAAAGCATGTCTGAGCTGATTGAAATCGGCCCTGTGACTCTTCCATGATTGTGACTATGTGTTTCAGGGTCCCTCTTAGGTGATAAAACACGAATGACTGAGCTATCAAGAGATATGAATGCATACATCAGGCCTTCTCCTACCAGTGGGACTTTAGGCGGTGTGACAAGGACCACAAATGAAGCTATTCTGCTGTGTGAAGGAGGGGGATATGACATCATTCTTATTGAAACTGTGGGTGAGTGCGATATTCTATTTCATAAAAATAATGTACTATCATAAGGAATGCTATATAAAGATGAATGTCAACTGATTTCATTTAGTTCATTGAGCAGAAACTTATTAAAAGTGTAACTAAATACAAGATCCTATCCTAGATGCCACAGGTAACATGAGTGTGTGGGGTATGATCCTGACCCTCAAAGAATTTACCATTTAAAAGATGAAAGTAAGCTGTGTCTACATAACTTATACATAAGTTGACAAGTTCTGTGTGCCAGAGAATGGTGAGCACCAGGATGATTATGCTGCCAATCGCAGCACCTACTTCCGTGTGAGCGTACTTCATGTCTGTAGTTCTCACTAAGAAAAGTCCTGTAGTTGGGTAGCTTTTGATTATGAGGTTGTGCTTTATTCTTATATCCTTAGTACATAATTATATGCAGTGAACACATCAGAAGGAAAACTTCAAGAAATCCATATTCTTACAGATGGACAGTCTTTCGGGTTACTATGTGAGAAATGTTTGGGATACAATCTAAACCAGATTTGAGGGCATCAATGAAGACTTCCTAGAGGAGGTAACAGCTAAATTCAGTTTTGAAGGAAGATTGGAGTTAGCAATAGGGGGCAAAAGGGCATTTACACAGATACAGGAGTGAAAAAGCGTGACTCATTCAGAAAAGACCAGCGTGCTCAAGCTGCTTGGAGCATGGAGGGCAGATGAGAGGGCTTGGAGCAGCAGCCCAGGTTGGATTGTTTCTGTGTGCCCTGCCAGGGAGTTTAGAGTTTGCTTGAAAGGAGTGGGAAGTCACTACAGGGGAAGAGCCAGATAAGAGTTTTGGAGGGAACTTTGGAGGTAGAGTGAAGAATGATTGGAAGAGTTAGAGTAGAGGCGGGGATGCAGTTAGGAGACTGTGGTACCAAAGAAAGGAGATGCAACGCTCTAACCAGGCAAGAAGGGACCCGAGAAGACGAGATGCATTAGAAAAACAGTGAGGCTGCGTTGGCACGGCTTTATCCGTGATTAAATATAAGCGATAAGGAAGGAAGAGGATTGAAGTTACCAAGATGCTGTGAAAAGGGGAATCTGAAGAGAGCAAAATAATAGGTTCATTTAGTAATGTATTAGTATGACATGCTTATTAGGTGTCCAAGTGTGTCTTAGGACGACTGAGTAAGAAATGCATACTTAAAAGTTACAACAAGCAGGGCGTGGTGGCACACGCCTTTAATCCCAGCACTCGGGAGGCAGAGGCAGGCGGATCTCTGTGAGTTCAAGGCCAGCCTGGTCTACATAGTGAGTTCCAGGACAGCTGGGGCTACAGGGAGAACCTGTCTCAAAAAGACCAAAAAAAAAGTTACAAACATAACTTATAGTTTTGTACTAAGATATGAATCTGGCTTAAGGTAAGTAGAGAAAAATAGGAGGTAAAATGAAAGATATAACTTATAGTTTTGTACTAAGATATGAATCTGGCTTAAGGTAAGTAGAGGAAAATAGGAGGTAAAATGAAAGATAGTCATGTTGGTTTGCTAGAACTGTCACAAAATACAGGCTGGGTGCCTTAGACAGTAGACATTTGCCTCATCAAAGTTCTGGAGGTTGGAAGTCGGGTCAGGGCAATAGCAGGATGAGGTTTTCTGAGCTCTCTTTCCTTGTTTGCAAACGACTGCCTCCTTTCTGTGTCCTCACATGGGCATTGCTCTGCACATATGCAACCCCTGGCGTTTCCTCCTCTTCCTACAAGGATGCCAGCCCTATTGCATTAGAGCCCCATCCTCACAACCTCGTTTAACTCCTTTAAAGGCCCCATCTCCATCCACAGTCACATTAAGGGTTAGGGTTTCAACAGGCCTAATTCAGTCCCTAACGGTGCCAGGACTAGCCTTAGGAACTCTACCACTTAAGGTTGGATGGAGGAAGTTACCTGAATGGTAGCAGAAGTGCTATCAGGAAAATGCAAGGAGAAAGTGGTATAAAGACAGGCATGCTAGCTGAAAGTTTATTAGCTGCTTCTCCCAGATACAGTAACAGTGACTCAAATAAGACATGGGCTGTTTTCTTGTAAATAAAAGAAACCTGGAGGAAGATGGTTCAGAGTGGGGTCATTCGATGTCTTTAGTGCCCCAGAATGCCTCTGTTATCTGGTCTCCATTGTTAGCACGTAGTTTCTGTCCTCAGGATTGCTCATGATTGAAAGGCAGCTGATGAAGCTGACTGTCCTGCCTGGGTTCCAGATAGAAGGAAGGAGGAGAGGAAAGAAGCAGAAATCGGGAGGTAGACCCGGCTAGCCCAGGAGAGTAGGAGGGGCGGTTCCTCTTTGGCAGTGTTTCTCACACTGAACTGCAGAGTGGGTGGCAGGGCTGAGGCTGCATTGTCCTTGGAGGGGACAGGAGAAGCTGGGAGTGCTTCGTTTCCTCTGTGCAGGAGGTTCTACAGTGAGAAACGGAAGGAAACGGGGACATTTAGGGGATGAGGAGGGTATAGAAGACACTGGAGACCATGACCTGTAGTGGTGCCTGTCCAGAGTCAAGTGGTTTCTCCAACATGCTTAGAGAAGAGAGAGTATGCATGGTTGGACTGATCCACGATTAGGGTTTGCAGGGTGGGGATAGGGATGAAAAGACAAAAAGAGATTAAAGTATTGGCAGACATGGTTTAAGACTGGAGTTAAGTGTTCAAGCTACTCATTGATGAAAGAGAAGCCAAGAAAGAGCTTTAAGAGTAGGAAAGACTGGAGGTCTATAAGGTCTCCATCCAAGGCATAGCTCTACTGGGGGAAAGGAAGCCTATGTTGGCAACTTAATCCCCAAATTCACATTAATGGCATTTGGAAGTGCAGCCTTTAGGGGATCATTGGGATGAGATGCGGTCATGTGAGTGGAGAACCTGTATGTCAGTGGCTTTTTAAGGAGAGGAAGAGATACCTAAGCAAGCGTGCTTGCTCGGTCTTCCCATGTGCTCTAAGTAGGTGCTGGGTCTCTGTTCTCGCACTTGTCAGTCTCCAGAACTCTGGGCCTAATAAGCTTCTGTTCTTTATCAAGTATCTAGTCTCAGGTGTTTGGTTATAGCAGCAGAAGTTTAAAGGTGTTAGTGAGTGACCATGAGGATCAGGAATTGAAGTAGAATGGAAATGAGTCGGTGAATCTGAAAACATGTAGTAGCTGAATTTTTTGGTCTTTTTTTTTCAAGACAGGGTCTCTCTGTAGTCCCAGCTACCTTGGAACTCATGTAGACCAGGCTGGCCTTGAACTCACAGAGATCCACCTGCCTCTGCCTCCCAAGTGCTGGGATCAAAGACGTGCAGCACCACGCCTGGCTGAGGCTCAGTATTTTACTTGAAGTTGTGGTTTAAAATTGCAGGTGTGGGGCAGTCGGAGTTTGCTGTCGCTGACATGGTTGACATGTTTGTTCTGCTGCTGCCACCAGCAGGAGGAGATGAACTGCAGGTAATGATTTTGATGCCCCACCCCACGCAGTGTATGGAACTGAAGGTACAAGTTTTGTTTTACACGTGATTGAAAGTGGTGTAGGAAAAGCATCGTTCATACGGGCTGAGGTGCCTAAGTCGCAGGCAGAGTCTCTGTATATGTTTTTTTCTCAACTTACAGTCGTGAAGGTATGATTTTGAGCTGTTCTTTATAACCTAAATTTTCTGTATGCAGTGTGGAAGTGACTGGAATAAATGGAGAGTTTTGGCCAAAGAGGCCACTATATCACAGGTATTTGTAGAACACTTGGCTCAAGCCTTCTTCATGGGCTATTTGTAACTCATGTACTGTATAATAGCACAGTACTCTCCCTCCTCCAGTTCAATTCCATCATTAGCCAACAGGCATGGTCTTCCACAGAGCTCCCGTACTCCAGAAACCAGCTGATTTCTAGGCCACCTATGGTTCTGAACAAATTTGAATCTTCCACTTCCTCTTACGTTCAGCCGTTCATTAGAAGAGCTCACAAAATCCAGGGAAGCTCTCTCATTGCAGGTTTATGATAAAGGGCACAGTTATAAACCAATAAGTGAGGAAGGGACACAGCAGAGGTCTAGGGGGTTGGAAACACTCATGATGATGGTGCGAGTTGTTTTGAGAGTGGCAGAGCCTTTCTCGACCCTGGTGAGTTTAACCAGGGGACTGAGGTGCCAAATGATCAACAAAATCACCAAGCCAGGGTTCTCAAATTCGTCGTCTCACCATGATAGAATAGGGAGAGAGGGTGTGGACAGGACAGTGAGCAAACTAAAGTAGATTTTATTAAGGAAAAAGAACTCTGAAGTGGGTGGAACGGTCCCAAGAAAGAGTTACCACCATGTGCTGTCTTGTTTAGTGATCTTTCATGGGACTTACGGTAGGAACCGGATGGGGTCTGAGGTAAGCTTTATTGAGATCAGTCAGGCTTTGAGTGCATCGGGAGCCAAATCAGTGAGGGGCCCACACATTCTTTCTGTGTCCCTTGACCAAACTAGAGGTGATCATGAATTGCTCCCCTCATAGGGAGTGTCACACATTGTGGTCAGCAGGGTTCACTCTCTCGGCTCCCTTTACTCATTTGTCGGCTATGGGTCGTTATTTCCCTTTCTTGTTGTTTCATGTGTGACTAGCTTATAATTCACTGCAGACCCTTGCCCTTGCTCTGGGGAGCTAGATCCTGTCTCAGTGAGATGATGTGAACTGCCTCCTGCCACACAGTCATACTGTATCTTGGTCATTTTTTACCCAAACTCTGAATGTATTTCACCATGTTAGTATCTAAGTTTGGAAAAGACATTACAGAAAACGTCCATAATTCCAAGAGTTGATGCATTTAAGTAATTCTGTCAATAATAATAATAATAATTGTGAGTCCTGATACCTGGGGCTTTGGATGATACAGAAAAAAAGAGCCAGTGGAAGAGTACAACTTTGATACACCTCAGCTGGCTGTCCCATTTTTGTGCTAGTTGTGATTAAATAAAACATTTCTGATAAGGGGCTGGAGAGATGGCTCAGTGGTTAAGAATACTGACTGCTCTTGCAGAGGCCCCGAGTTCAATTCCCACCACCCACATGGTGGCTAACAACTATCCTTAACTCCAGTTCCATGGGATCTGATGCCTTTTTCTGACCTCTGCAGGCACTTTGAAACACAAGTGCACTTACATACATACAGGTGATACACTCATACACATAAAATAATAAATTTTTTAAAGTTTCTGATAAATGTATTCTTCCCCTGTTCTCTCTAGGGTATCAAAAGGGGTATAATTGAGATGGCAGATCTGGTTGTTATAACTAAATCTGATGGAGACTTGATCGTGCCAGCCCGAAGAATACAAGCAGAGTATGTGAGCGCACTGAAGTTGCTCCGCAAACGCTCCGAAGTCTGGAGACCAAAGGTTAGTCTGCATTCCCGTCTGCCTTTCTCCCCGGGAGTGGACTGTGCACCCTAGGAGAGAGGATGGAGGTCTCGGGCTGGACGGATAATCAATCTCTGCTTGAACGTAAAGATTACAATTTTTAAAATATGACAAAGCTAAGTGTGTAGTCATGATTTTAAATACAGCCTTTCACAGGGTGTCAAACTAGAATGTGAGCTGATAGATGAGACTGCTCAGTACTTGATGTAAGCCATTTGGGACTGATAGCAGATCCGTCTTGAAAGGAACCATCCATTATGGAGCAATTGATGGTTTGATTATCTATACTGGAATTTGGGTGGCAGAGAAAAGGCTTGTGATGTGACACTTTTTGCTTGTTAGATGCTGTTTTCAGCAGCTTTAAAAGAATGAAGGAGAATCCTGTAGTTATGCAGTAACAGTGACCCTGTGGCCAACCGCAGGACACCGTGTGGCTAAGGAATAAGCTGTGGCTGTCATAAATGCGAGTAGTGGGCTCCAGCTTTCCCCAGCCCGCGTGGAGTCCTACGCCATCTTGTACGTGGAGGCGCGGATCTTCACAATAGCTGAAGCAGGCAAAACTGACAGGGTGGTGCTCGCTCAGCTCTGTGTTCTGACACTCACACCCCAGGGACCCTCCCGACCGTCGCCTCTGCTCGTTCTCTGGCTCTCACCAGTCCTCCGGGTGCCTCTCACTGTCTGTTTGAGCCATCCTGAGTTAAATACATTTCTGGGCTAAAGAATTTGACCTTAGATCAATGTCTTATTTCTGCCATGCCCTTAGTAATCCTAGGAACATTACTTCAGTGTATGTCGGTATATTTACTTTGACAGAGCTATAAAATCTCATCTGGGTCATTTTTCTGTTTCCATAAACTGGAAGAATTCATTGGCAAACATAAGCCCCCATGAAAATGTTTTCTATTATTTTAAGTGAAACAGCTCTGGTTCTGCCTTTTCCATAGGTAATTCGAATTTCCACCAGAAGTGGAGAGGGCATCAGTGAAATGTGGATTCTAATGAGAAAATTCCAGGACCTGATGCTGGCCAGCGGGGAGCTGACCACCAAGCGGCAGAAGCAGCAGAAAGTCTGGATGTGGAACCTTATTCAGGAAAATGTCTTAGAGCATTTCAAGACTCATCCTGCTGTCCGAGAACAGATTCCTCTGATGGAGAGAAAGGTTCTCAGTGGGAACTTCTCCCCAGGACTAGCAGCAGATTTATTATTGAAAGCTTTTAAAAGCAGAGACTAATAAATGCATCCTGTACAATCAACTTATATAGTTTCCTAGAGTACTTAATATTCCAATATCGTCTGGGTATTTATAATTCTTTTTTTGTGTCTTGGCTTATTTATGTGTGAACCATGCCTGGAAACCTAAAGGCAGTTGGCGGTGGGTGGCAAGGTTAGGCATAGGCAGTATTTACGAGGAGCCTGCTGCGTGTCACTGATATCATTTCTTATGCCTTGGCAGAGGGTGTTTCTTCTCAGGAGTCAGAAGCAGAGAAAGCTGAGGGGGAGAGAAAAGACCATACACTGTCAAGTGGCTGCTTTGAGTCCATGTTCTCTGAATTGCTGGAGAAAGCAGAAGCCCGAGTGACCACATTCCTGAAGTCTTATTTGAGGCCCAAACAACACACAGCCGGTTTCTGAGAACTGACAGTCATGTCGGCATTTAGTGCACCACATTACTGTAAGAACTCTGAAATGACCATGCATTCTTGTAAGAAAACAGCTGAAACAACGTGAATTCAGTTTTAAAGTCTGTTTGGCTAGACTTGCAGGTGTGTTCATTACTTTTCTGTCGCTGTGATAAAACACCATGACCGGAGGGGGAGTCCAGAATGGAGGGGGAGGGAAGCATGGCTGCAGGAGGCCAGAGCAGGAGCTGAGAGCTCACATCTTCAATGGCAAACACAAAAGCAGAGAGCACACTGAAGTGGTGGGGCGGGAACTGTCCAAGCCCGCCCCCAGTGATGTGCTTCCTCCAGAAAGCCAGGCCTCCCGACGGTCCCGTGACCTCCCCAAACAGCACCCACTGGGGACCAAGTGTTTAAATGCTTGAGCTACTTAAACCTATGGGGGACATTTGTCATTTAAACCACACAGTAGTCATGAGCCAAAAGGGAAAATCAGCTACAAACGTGGGTCCATGATTCTCAAGAGACTTAGGCCGTCAGGACAATTCAAGGTTACTCAGTTTGAAGATTATCAAAGATTGCTGCTTTTATTGTACCTTGGCATTTTACTTCATATTAGAGCTGTGTGTGGTGTGTGGTGCGTGTGTATGTGTGGTACGTGTGTATGTGTGTGTGGTGCGTGTGTGGTGTGTGTATGTGTGTATATGGTGTGTGTGTGGTGCGTGTGTGTGGTGTGTGTGGGGGGCATGTGTGGTGCGAGTGTGTGTGTGGTGTGTATAGTGTATGTGTGTGGTGCGTGTGTGTGTGTGTGGTGTGTATAGTGTATGTGTGTGGTGCGTGTGTGTGGTGTGTGTGGGGGGCATGTGTGGTGCGTGTGTGTGTGTGGTGTGTGTATAGTGTATGTGTGTGGTGCGTGTGTGTGGTGTGCGTGTGTGTGGTGTGTGCGTGTGCTGTGTGTGTATGTGTGCGGTGCATGTGTGTGGTGTGTGTGTGGTGTGTGGTGTGTGTGTGGTGCATGTGGTGCATGTGTGTGGTGCGTGTGTGTGTGGTGTGTGTGTGGTGTGTGTGTGTGTGTGGTGCGTGTGTGTGGTGCGTGTGGTGTGTGTGGTGTGTGGTATGGTGTGTGTGTGTACCCATGCATGTGGAGGCCAGGGGTCACCACTGTGCTTTTTTATTGCTGTCCACCTTATTTTTTGAGACAGCATATCCAGCTTTTAATTTGGATTTTGGGGGGTGAAACTCAGGTCCTTACGCTTGCACTGTACGCACTTTACCGACTGAAGCATCTTCTCAGCTTTTAGATCTACTTTTTTCTTGATGGTGAAGAACAAAATTGGTCCTGTAGAGGAAGCATGTGTCTAGGACTAAGAGCTTATACCCTGGAGTTGGTTTGTGTGTTTACACTTAAACCAGATCAACCTCTGTAAGCGTCAACAAGTAATCTAAGCTGTAGGCTTCAGTGTCCTACCTGGCAAAGTGGAATTGTCGTATAACATTATACAGTTGGTCAGGATTAAATGAAATGTTTCAGGAAGATCATTTCACCATCATGATGGTATATAGGGAACACTGCCTACTGTTTTTATTATGTCAGAGTCATGGATACCTGAAGTTACATAAACCTTCTATATGGTTTAAGTTTTTTCTTACTACTATCATCATGCACTCGTGATAGTTTATGATTGTCCTTAAAACACCAGCTCTGTTTAATTCTCTGAGTGTCTTATACTATTCTATGGTAGTTACAACTATGTACATTTGGATAAAATTATTTCTAGCCATAAAACTCCTCCCTTCAATAAAATATTCTTCCCAAAGTTTCAGACATACTGTACTCTGCACTCTAGAATATTTCACAGTGTGTCGACTTTTAGTGTGTCTTATTCTACTGGTTTCTATGTGAATTCACATTTCTTGAGTATTATTTTAACAAACATTAATTGATACTTATGCAGATTTTATGCACGTAGGTTAGGAGAAGCTTTGAAAGTTAGCCAAGTGATTTTCTTGATTTGAGAAAGGTCACCACTAAACCCATCCTGTCAGATGAAAAACCAGTGTTATAAACTTCCAAAGAAGACATTTCATAATTTCCCTTAGGAAACTATCACAGGGGCAACAGCAGTTGCTAGCACCATGGCACTGGCAATGCAGCGCACACCACATTGTAAGGAAGGTTGAAAAGAGGGGCTTCTGTTAGCTCTAAATTCAGCAATGCATTTCTTCTCGGTGTAAACTCCTTTAAATGTTACATATATAGTCACAAACGCATAGAAATTTACATCTGTGCTTCCTTTTGTTAATCTCAAGAATCCTGTCCCTTCACCCTCACCCGTGAATCTATTTTGCTGGACTTCTGACCTGATCAAAAGCAGAGATCTTGACTTAGCTGCATGTGGATATAACTCACAGCTTATCAATAACTAGACATAGGAGTTGGGGAAAATTATTTCTCTATGATTTCCAATTTCCTTTGTAAAATTATGGTAATGTCAGCATTGTTGAATGAATTAGATGAGAAACTGGAGTGGTTGGTACTCGATAATGGACAGGCAGTGTTATAAATATTACACATAGGTATTTATTATAGCTTTTTGTCTATAAAGAAGATTAGTATTTCCTTTCAGGTTATCCAGACTACTTAGTCTCCTTGTCCCTTGCTTTGCCACTGGTGAATGAAAATGGCAACAGCATGATGGCTATGTTCATTGTCAATTTGATTGGACATTTTCATCACTTAAGAGATACATTTCTAGGCTTGTCTTTGATGGCATTTCCAGAGGATTTTGCCCGAGGAGGGAAGCCCACACTGAATAGGAGTGGCATCATCCCATGGACTGGGGTCCTGGGCTGAATGAAAAAAGAGAAAGCCAGCTGAACCCCAGCATTCATTTCTGTCTGCTTCTGGACTGGATGCAGTGTGACCAGCCTCTTTGTGCTCCTGCCATACAGCTAGAGACAGTCTCACTGCCATGAGCCAGAATAAACCCCTTCACCCTTAAGTTTCTTCTTGTCTGTTATTTTTGTCATAGCAACAAGACAGTGACTAATACAATACCATCAACGTGGAGCTGTGAAAGGAATTTGAATTAACATACATGCAGTACTTGGTCATAATAAGTGTTAAATGTTGGAGAGTAAATAGTAGTTTTGTCTTACAGTGGTTGTAAAGATTAGATGGGTACAATCTCCCTCCATCTTAAAAAAATAATTCTTTTCTGAAAACAAAAAAATCTCATAGGTCAATTGCCTTAGTCAAAAGCATAGTTGACCCAGGTGTGGTGGCACTCAGGAGAAAGAAGTAGACAGATCTCTGTGGGATGGAGGCCAGCCTGATCTAATGAGAACTCTATAGTGAATTCTAGGCCAGCTGGGGCTCCAGGGAGACCCTGTCTCAAAAAAACTAAAAAAAAAAATGTATAATTAGACAGGCGGTGTTAAAAATATCACTAATTTCTATAGGGAGGGAAAAATGTGTTGTATGGCAAACTGTGGTCCAAAATTGGCATTTTGCTAAAACAACGCAAACATCTCAACATGGCTACAGTTGCTTCAATTGTCACCACTGGCCACCACAAAACAATCTAGCCAGGCATTTTCACAGTCACGCTAATCTAAGACCTTATGGCTATTAGTCTGTATATTAGTTCCTTGTCTGTCACTGTGATAAAATACCACAACCAAGGTAACTTACAGAAGAAAGTTCATTTTGGTTTATGGTTCCAGAGAGTTAAGAGTCCATCATGGTGGGAGGTGAACACAGTGGCAGAGCTGAAAACTGAGAGCTCACGTCTTCAGACATGCGTAGGAGGCAGAAAGAGAGAAACGGGAAGAAGGGAAGGCTCTGAGCTCTCCAAGTCCACCCTCCACGATGTGCTCCCACCCTCCATGACGTGCTCCCACCCTCCACGATGTGCTCCCACCCTCCATGACGTGCCTCCTCTGTCAAGGCTGCACCTCCCAAACGTTCCATGGCCTCCCCAAACATTGCCAGCTGGGACCAAGCATTCAAATACTTGGAGCCTATAGGGGATATTTCTTGTTCAAAGCACCACACATTGTGTATACAGGAAAACAACAGCCAATGAACAGCATATATATGGTGCTTAATGTTTATGTAGTTTAAGGGGAAAAAGGGGAAAATCAATGAAAACCATTCAAATATTGCCCCTATCTGTCATTATGGTGCTACTGTCAAAAGCTAGGGAATGGCAAAGACATCAGAGGAGACACCTTTGTTGTCCGTATGTCTGTGCCGATGGTGGGGTTCGGTGCTCCTGAAGCCCAAGAGAAATCTCTATGGGGCTTCAGATATATGAAAATGCTCCTAAACCAGACTCTAAGAAATTGCTGTTAAAGTTGAATTCTTTTGTTTGTCATTTGAGGCAGAGTCTAACTATGTAGAGAGCTGGCCACAAACCTAAACCTCTTATCTCTGCCTGTGGAGTGCCGAGATTACAGGTACATGCCACAGTGCCTGGCTTTGAAGTTCAGTTCTGCTAACCCCAATGAGTGTATCCCAGGGTGTTGTGATTCAGGGAAAGTGCCAGAATGGCAACTAACAAACACACTCACTAAACACTTGTGTTGTTCTGGTAAGACTGAGGAACCGAGGCTATGATGAGCAAGTTGAAATTTCTCTTGTAAAAGAACGATCAGAAACTCTTGAACCTATTTCTCATTCTACTTTAGGACTTTGTTTAGTTGAGCACTAAATTTATGATCTTTTTTTTTTCTCCCATTTGAAATGAACGTTTAGCGATAAGTCCTGTCCTGTGAAGCTCAAATAAGTTTTTGGTTGTTTTATTTGCTCGTCATTTGTGACATGTTTTATTAAAAAATGAGTATCTTAAAAGCAATTAGATGGGCTGGAGAGATGACTCAGCGGTTAAGAACACCGGTTGTTCTTGCAGAAGACCCAGGTTCGAATCCCAGCACCCACATGGCAGCTAACAACTGTCCGTAACTCCAGTTCCAGGGGATCCCATGGCTTCTTCTGTCCTCCACAGACATTACACGACACAGGTGCACTTACCTACATGCAGGCAATACACGCATACACGTAAAGTAAAAAAATAAAATATTTTTTAAAAAGCAATTAGACTGGATGCTGTAGGGTTTTTAAATTATAAAATGCAGATGATATAGGTCAAAGTGCATTAGTATTTATGGGAACGTGATGGTGCAAATGTAACCTTG